AATGGGGAGTGGCGGGGATAGTGGGGACAGTGGGACAGTGGCGGGGACAGTGGCGGGGACAGTGTGGACAGTGTGGACAGTGGGGCAGCACAGTAGGACAGCGGTGTGGACAGTGGGAACAGTGGGACAACGGTGGGGACAGTGGGGACAGTGGGACACTGGCGGGGACAGTTGGGACAGTGGGGCGAATGGGATCGTAGTGGGGACAACGGCGGGGACAGTGGGGACAGTGGGATCAGTGGTGGGGGCACTGGTGGGGAAAGTTGGGACAGTGGTGGGAACAGTGGGGGCAGTGCGACAGTGATGGGGGCACTGGCCGGGACAGTGGAGACTGGTGGGGATTGTGGAGGTGGGGACAGTGGTGAGGGGATATTGAGATAGTGCTGGGGACAGTGGGACAGTGGTGGGGACGGTGGTGGTGGGGACAGTGGTGAGGACGGTGATGGGACAATGGGACAGATAGTGGGGACAGTGGGACAGTGGTATGGGAACAGTGGGACAGTGGTGGGGACAGTAGGGAGACTGGGAAGGCGGTGGGGGCAGCGGCGGGGATGGCGGGGACAGAGGGACAGTGGTGGGGGCATCGGTGGGGACAGTGGGGCCAGTGGTGAGAACAGTGGGGACACTGGGACAGTGATGGGGACGGCGATGGTGGGGACAGCGGTGAGGGCGGTGGTGAGGACGGTGGTGAGGACCAGGGAGTCTTTGCCTGCGGCGACGGGGTGGGGGGGGTCGAACAGGTAGTGGCCCCCCCCTGGTTTTCTGGAGGGGGGGGGAGGGGGGGTCGAGCCGGTAGTGACCCCCCCCCGGTTTTCTGGAGAAGGGGGGAGGGGAGTGGTGGGGGGGGGCAGGGGAAGGGAGGGAGGGAGCAGGGGGGTTTTCAGAGGGGGGCAGGGGGGCGTACCTCCGGGTTCCGGAGGAAGAGGGGGGGGGGGGGGAATTTTCCAAAGTAAAGCGGCGGTGGATCACGCACTCTCGTTTATCTTAGTGCGTCTGTACTCAACAGCGCTTGTATACACCACAGAATTGGTGTACACCACAACGTTCGTGTACACCACAGGCGTGCGTGTGCACAACAGTGGTGTTGCACAGTGTCTGGGCGACCTGGTTCGACTGGTTCGACAAGGCTTTCGTGTTACAGCTGGAGGCCGCCGTCGACCACTTCGCGCGCGCTGGGCTGTCTCCCCGAGCCGTCGAAGAACGCATTGCCGCCGGGGAGCCCCGGCCGTTTTGCCGGTGCACTGCAGTCCGTGTCCGGCGCGATTTACAACGTGCGGCCCAGGCAGTCTTGCCGCAGGCGAGCGATGCGTGGCTGGAAACACGTGCCCGTCATAAGCTCGAGCGGTGGGAGGTCCGTCAATCCCCACGGGTTCGGGCAGTTCGATGCGTGCAGACGCTGCGGCAGCTTGCCCCGCTGGCAACAGCGCGAGTCGGCCGTGTGGCGCACGCTATGGAACGGCTCGGTTACACATCGACGTTTCCCTGGCGCTCAAGGCTTCGGCAACCGATGCATGTTCTGCGGCACAGATGCGCAGGACGCTATCGAGCATTACGCCTCCTGCCCGCACGTGTGGTCGTTCGCTCGGGGGGTTCTCGGGCTCCCGCGTCCTGACACCGCGGCCGACTGCTTGGCCAACTTCCTCTTGCTGGACCTCGCGCCGGACAGGCTGCGCTTGGAGCCCGACGAGCTGGTCCGCAAAGCGTTGCGCACCGCGGCCGTGTACAGGGTGCACTGCCTGGCCCGGCATGGTGTTGTCCCCATTGGTGCAGCTGCGTGTGAGGCCTTGCGTCAGGCGGTCCGGGAACTCGTGAGGGGGCATTCTGTTTCTCAGCGAATTCTTGGGCACTGGTGCTGATTTCCCCTTGCTTCTCCTCCCTCCTCCTTGTTTCTCCCTCTCCCGCTCCCTCCTCTCAAGATGTGCCGGCCCATCCGGCAGCGCATTGCCACGGGAAGTCACGACGAGGCTGCGCACCGAGTCCGTGACAGAGGATTCGCTGTGCGGAGGCCCAGTCTGTTGTGTCCCGGCCGCGTGGCCGATAGTTCGCGTGCGCAGCAGTTCCCCTTCCCCCGCTTTACTTGTTTCGCCTCGTCCCCTCCTCCTCCTCTTCCTCCTCTTTCTCCTCGTCGTGCAGTTTCGCTGTTCCCCAGTTCTGGAGGATTCCAGCCCGTCGATTCATTTTTTGCCAGTGCTTAGGAGAACAACTTGTGTAGGCTGACGGGTGCACTCAGAATGCGGTGACGTCTACCCGGCCGGCGCGGTCATGCATTGGTCCGCGATGCATTCGGTCCGTAACGGTCTGGACCGTTTCGCTTGCCAGAGCGTGTAGGCGCTTTCGGATTCAAGGCGGACGTCGATGGCTCTGCGCCGGGCCTCGCTTATGGCTACTTTGAGCTCCCCTCTTTTTTTTTCCTCCCGCGCTCGCCTTTCGGAGGCGGAGCTCCGGCTAGCCCTTCTGGGGTGGGCCGGCTTTGCGCCTCCTCTGCCTGTCTCCTCCTCGCTCCCCCCGCGCACGTCGTCTCACTCGGCCCTGGGCGGCGGCAGCCTGGTTGGAGATAGGTTGCGCGTCGCTCAGCAGGATATTTCTCCCTCCTCTCCCTCTTTTCTCTCTCTCTCTCTCTTTCTCTTTCTCTCTCTCTCTCTCTTTCTCTCTCTCTCTCTCTCTCTTCCTGCTCCCCCCAATTGGACGCATGTCAGCGCACCGTGTGCATGAGCACTGTGTGTGGACCTGTCTGCGCCCGCTGCTGGTTGACCCTGGCCTCTGGCCTCACGCCAGGCTTGCTCCGACGCCGTCACCGTCATGGTTACGCGCGGTGCTGGGCGCTTGTGCGCCCGTGCGCCCTCTTTCGACTGTTTTGTTTTAGTTGGCGAGTGTCTGCGCCCAAGTGCTTTCACCCTCAGGCGTCTCCCAAGCAGCTTGTGACATTATGTCGCCTTCCCTCCTTGTTCCTTTCTCGCGCTCGTCCCCTTCCCGCTCCCGCTTCCGACTTGATAGGATTCTGGGGGTGTTTTCTAGCAGCTTCGCCGCCGAATTGGCCCTTGACTGAGTATGCACTGTGCGTCATCCTTTCTTGACTCGTTGTGTGACACTGTGAGGTTCCATTATATTTAATCGCCTCGCTCATTCCGCCGGCCCACATTGTATCGCTGGTGCTATATGTTTGTGTGTTCGTGGCGAGCGAGAAGAAGTTGGAGGAGGGGGAGGAGGAGGAGGATGAAGAGGGGAGGATGAGGACGAGGAGGCGGTCTCTCGATGGCTTCTTGGAGTATTTTTTGGGCCAACCCTGGTCGTGGACAAGACGCCTCTTTGGGAGGCTTCGTGGGGCCTCTCGGGGGCCTGTTGGAGGTGTTTTTGGGGCCTCCTGGGGCCTCTTGGGGGCCTCTTGGGGCCTCCTGGGGGCCTCTTCGGGCAAAGATGTCGAAATGCCCGTTCGGGTCCCCCGTCTGTGCCCTCTCTTGGAGCCGTCTTGGGGGTGTATTCGGCCGTCTTGGAGGCCTCTTGGGCAGTCTTGGGGCCATCTTGGGCCGTTGGGGGGCCCTCTTGGAGACCTCTCGGGCCGTCTTGGGGCGGTCTTGGGGGCCTCTTGGGGCGTCTTGGAGCGTCGGAAGCTGAAAATGCGAGAACGCCAAAAACCTTCAAAAACCAATGGAAAATCAACGATTTTTGCTTCTTGGGGCCCTTTTTGGAGACCTCTTAGATGCTTCATGGGCCATTTTGGAAGCCTCTTGGGCCGTCTGGAGGCCATCTTGGGCGTCGTGGAGCGATCTTCGGGCGTCTGGTGCCCCTCTTGGACCATGTTTGGGGCCTCTTGGGGCCCTCTTGGGGCGATCTGGAGCCCTGTTGGGCTCCGAAACAGAATTCCGGCATCTCTGACCCCTAGTTTGCCGGGGATCTGCCGGGGATCGCCCGGGGTACTTTTCGCTCGGGGACCCCCAGGGGCCGCCCTGCGCGCGCGAACTAGAAATACTGTTATGCACACACGACACCACTGTCTGTTCTCGGTTCCTCGTCGTCTTTCGCCCCTCAGCCGGCATCCCGAGTCCGGGGTCAGTGCAGGTTTTTGCTGCCGTCCTTGCCGGTGTATTGAAACGATGTCGTCTTCAGCAGGTTCTGTCAGAGCGCTTTTGAGTTGAGGATTGGTACCATAGTGTACATAAGGCGTTCGGCTGTCGCTGAAAGCCTGGGTGGCTCTTCGCCCCCGGGTCTCGTTTAAGGGGCCCTCGGCTGCTGCGTCTTCATCGGCATTTTGCCATTTTGCCTTGTGCACAATGCCTGCGTACGCAACAGTGGAACTGTACATAACGCCTGTGTACACAGCCATGGCCGCCTACACCTTGGAGCTTTTACACACCATATATGCTTTTATGTGTGCACCATATCGCACGTGTGCCCCACAGTGCCAGCATACACCATCGCAGCCGTGTGTACCAGAACGCCTGAGTGCCGCAGTGCCTGTGCGCACCACGCCACCCGTGTACATGTGTGGTGTGCGAGTGTGTGGGAGTACTACCGACGGCTACACCACAGGACCTGTGCACACCACACAGCAGATGCACAGTTTCAAGGTCCCGGCGGGGCCAAAATCGGGAGGTCGGGGCGAATCGTGCTGTTTGCAGTTTGCGCAGGGCTTCCCGAAAAGCGGTGGGTCCAGTGCGCGTCTGTGCCCCAGAATTGGGCGCAGATGTGCATATGTTCTGGGGGCTATGACACACGAGGGACGGGTCTTCATGAATGACGGTTCGTCTAAAGGGACGTCAAGGATAAGAAAAAACGGGTGAGCGCAGGTGTGCAGAGATTTCGGCTCACTAGTCGCGGTCGCGCTTCGTTCTCGTATACACACTCGCACACAACGTACTTTCTCTTCACTGGGCGAATATTCATTCCGCCGGGACAGCATGCTTGGCATGATGGTTCCTCTCCGCGCTCTGGCCGTAGCCGCGTTGCTACGTGCGACTGCCGCTATCAAGATCGTGGAGGACGGGGACAGGGACGGGCCCGAGGTCATTACAGGGGAGACCGCTGCCGTGTGGCGCAAGATCATGGAGACCAGCGCCAACGCAATGCAGCACCAACGAAATGCAGAGGAGGCGGCGAAAACTGCCGCGGAGGCCAGGGCGGTCGACGATGCGGCATGGGACGCAGCAGCGGCAAAGGCTGCAGCGGATGCCAGGGCCGCAGAGAAGGCGGCGAAAGCTTTTGCGGAGGCCGAGGCTACCGAGAAGACTGCCGCGGAGGCGAAGGCGGCAGAGGAGGCGGCGAAGGCTGCCGCGGAAGCCAAGGCTGCAGACGAGGCCGCCAATGTTGCTTCGGAGGCCAGTGCCGCGGAACAGGCAGCGAAAGTTGCGGAGGAGGCCAAGTCTGCAGAGGAGGCGGCTAAGGCTACCGCACAGGCCGAGGCGGCGGAGGAGGCGGCGAATAATGCCGCAGCGGCAAAGTCTGTAGCAGATCCCAGGACCGCAGACGAAAAGGCGAAGTCTTTCGCAGAGGCCGAGGCTGCAGAGAAGGCTGCCGCGGCGGCCAAGGCGGCAGAAGAGGCGGCGACGGCCGCCGCAGAGGCCGAGGTTGCCATGGAGGTGGCAAGGAAGGCCGCAACTGCCAAGGCTGCAGCGGCGGCCAAGGCCGCAGAGGCGGCCGCGGAGGCTCTCGCGGAGGCCAAGGCTGCCGAGGTGGTTGCCGCGGAGGCCAGAGCTGCAGAGGAGACGAGGACGAAGGCTATCGCGGCTACCACGGCTGATGACGAGGTCGCCAGGGTTGCTTCAGAGGCCAGGGCCGCCGAACAGGCTGCGGAAGCTGCCGAAGAGGATGAGGTGGCGAAGGCTGCAGCGCCGCAAGCACAGACCAGAGCTGCAGAGGAGGCCGCGAAGGCCGCAGCGCCACCAGCGCCAGCGTCTATCACGGAGGACCGCCATGATAAGGGGCGACCACAACCTTCTCCTCCGCCGACGGCGCCCCCGACGCTGGAGCCGACGCAGGAGCCCACACCGGAGCCAACATTCAAATTTGAGGCTCCAGGAATCCCTTGCTCGTGTCACGTGCCAGAATGCTTTAAGACGTACGACCACAACGGGGATGGTTGCCTCACCCAAGACGAGTGTGACTTGCAGATGCCCATCTTGGAATACTGTTTCATGGTACCCGCAACCTGCGGGCCAGAGAAGTGGGACTTGGATGATGACGCTTGCATCAACCTGACCGAGTTCGAAATGGTTTACGAGGTTAACCAATCAGTCTGCCCGACGGAGGTTCCCGAGCCGTGCGACGAGTGCCCTCAGGGCAAGTACATCGTCCCGAACCCCTGCGAGTGCGTAGACTGCGTTGGCGAAACGCGAAGGCGCCGCTCCATAGAGTGTACTCCCTGCCCAGCTCCCTTCGTGCCCTGCCAGGACCCCGACGCAGACGATTGCTGCGATCCTTACATCCCGGGTGCATCAAACGTTCCAAACGGAAGCACCTCGATTCCCGTGCATGTCGCGTATCAAACATGTACTGAGTTCTCATTGGGCGACAGTATCACCATCTCTGGAAGGTTATCGAGCGACCCGTCTACAACCGTCACGCACTCAACAGTCGTCATTGGGATCTCTCAGATTACTGGGGGATACGAACTCGATCTCAACGACCCGCTCCCTGGAAACTTTCAATATGACACGACAGTTCAGCAGGCGTGCACATCCACTGACGGGACTCAGGTGAGCGGCTCATTCTCTCCCTTCGCTGGTGGTTGTTGCTGCGCATGCGGCACTGATTGCTGCGAGACCACCGAGGTGTGCACTCTTTACCCCAACGGCACTGGTGAGTGCTCCAATGCTGGCCCGTACCCCGAATTCTCGACTCCAGCCCCGACCGTCGGGGCCAAGGGTGACCCGCACTTGGTCAACCTTCAAGGAGAGCACTTCGACATCAACCACGAAGGCACGTTCACACTTCTCCGTTTCCCGCAGGCTGTCGAGAAGGCGGCCGAGTTTTCCTTCCAAGCAGTCGTCCAGCCGGACGTGGGGAAGCCGTGCACCACGTACATTACGCACGTGGAGCTATCGGGCGCTTGGCTCGGCGGTAAGTCCATGGAGATTCGCTGCTACCGCAAGTCCCATTCGAATGACACCGACGCGTTCCTCGGTGCCCGGCTGCTCGAGGGCAAGGGCGATTCCCCCTGGCAGACCATTGAGGAATTCGAGACGAAGGACCTTGTGCTCTCCGACTCGGAATCGGGCATCGAGGTTTCGCTAGACAAGGCGACCTGGTTCCCCAAGAAGCGCTCAAAGACGGGGCCGACTGCGGCTGGTATGTTCACCCTCTATCTGCGCAACAAAAGGAGCCCGACTGGCGCCAAGATCACCATGCGCCAGGACTTACCCGAGCAGGAGCACCTTAACGTGGCTGTGCGGCAGTTATCCCAGCTTGGCCGCGTGGACGTCGGCGGCCTACTCGGCTTCGACGCACACCCAGAGAGCCTGGAGCGCCCCTCTGCCGCGTGCGTCCATCACAGGGCCACGGCGCGCTACCGCATCGAGAGCCAGGACTACGCGGACCACGGCTACTATTTCCGGCCCGCGTGGAAGGACCGTTGGGACAAGATTCGTACTGGGGGTCGCTCGCGGGACAACGAGGCGGCCGCCAGCTTCATGGGCAGATTCGACGGCAAGAGCGGCCTGGAGAATAAGGTGTGCAAGTGCCCGAGCGATCCGCACGGCAGTGCCGCTGGCAGCATCGAAGGAGTACTCGTCGAGGAGGCGAGCTTCATGTTCGCCAAGGCGTCTTGGGAGTAGGCTGGGAGTAGGCTCGCACCGCTGAGCCGCGTCGCACCGGTATGGACGTGCGCTGCCGACGGCAACCTTATTCCCTGCCTCATTCCCCAGCGCTCTTGTCGGCCGTTCCCGTCCTCCTCGCCGCCGACGACGGCGAGAAAGGGGCTCGTCCCAGGTTTCCCTCTGATGCGCGTCTGCTCTGCTGGTCTCGCAGTGCTTCATGGATTCACCGACTGGTCGAACGTTTGCTCCTCATTTTGGTGGCGCGGTTTCTTCTTCCACGGCTCACCTTCTGGCAGCCGTGGGATCTATAGCGTCTCGTTGCACGCCCTCTTTCTTCCTTGCTCGGCGGCCCACCGGACCTCCGTGCACTCTTGCCCCCAGCGCTTGGAACAAAAAGAGAGCAGGCCCCCCAGATTGGCCCAAGAGTGCCCCAAGATGCCCGATGGCTTTCAACGACCCCATTGTCTTCTTTTAATGCAGAAAAGGGTTGCTTTCTCTCTCTCTCTCTCTGTCTCTCTCACTCTCTCTCTCTGTGTCTCCCTCTCTCTCCCCTCGGCCATCGTCGCGAGCATCCCTCGGCACTCCATGCCCCGTTCTTTACCTGCCGTGCCCATCACTGTTCACATTGCACAGGGATTGCAAGAAGCTCTGCGAGGAGGTGGACCTGAAGAGGGCCCCCGGACGCCGCAAGTACAGAACAACCTTCGGTGCGAATTTCTAATCCGCGAGACCTGGGCCCCCGGAAGTCACCGGAGGTCTTTTTGACATCCCCACAATCTTGAGCTACAATGCAGGACCCCCGTCTCGCTTTTGGCCCTTCCCCCGAGCCAGCAGTGTTGTCGCGCACTGTTCTTGCCCATCCTCTCGCCATTATCTCTTTGTTACCGAAGACGCCTACGGCGAATCACCTCCAGCCCCTGCCTTTTTGAAAGGCGTCTCTGCGGCCAAACGTTTGGGCAAAATTTGGCCACGCTATTGAACCATCCGTTCCCCAGCTGTTGTGGAAGCCATTCCGGGAACACGAGGGGGAGGAAGAGGAGGATGAGGAACGGGATGGAAAAGGAGGTCAAGGAAAAGGATGATGAGAGCTTCTGGGGTCAATTCTTGCGGCCTCCTGGGAGCTTCCTGGGAGCTTCTTGGGGGCCTCCTGGGGGCCTCTTTGGCCATTTTACGGCGTTCCTGGCCCGTCTGACGCCGTCGGAAGCCGTTTTGGGAGCCTCTTTGGGCCGTCCTCGGGCCCTCTTGGGGCGCGTCGAGGTCGTCTTGAAAGCCATCTTGGCCATCTTGGAGGCCTGTTGGGCCGTCTTGAGGCCATCGTGCAGGCCATCTTCGGCGAGCTTGGGGCGATCTGGGGGGCCTCTTGTGCCGTGTTGGGCCGTCGGAAGAAAGACGGAAGCAAATGCCACCACCTGTTCAACACAGGATCTTCGCTTCTCCGGGTCCTCCTGGAGGACCTCTCGGATGCCTCTTGGGCCGTCTTGGAGGCCTCTTGGAGGCCTCTGTAGCAGTCTTGGGCCGTCTTGGTGGCTTCTTGGGCGGACTTGGAGCCATCGTCGACTCTTCGGCCATCTTGGGTGCCATTTTGGATGCCATCTTGGACCATCTTGGGCGAACTTCGAGGACATCTTGGCCGTCTTGAAGGCCATCTTGAGCCATCTTGGAGCCATCAGGAGCAGGAAACACTTCGGCAACCGGGTCCCAAGAGCGTTCCCGATGGCCAGCGCGGTGGGCCGAAGCCCCAGGTGGAGATCTTGAACAACAACCAAGCCAAACACCTCCTGAACCATAGCACGCCAGGCACCCCTGTGGCACGCCAACAGGGGGCGGCGGACGAAGACGCCTGCGGCGAATCACCGCGGCCCCCTGCCTTTGGAATCGCCCGTGTGGCCGAGCGTCACGGCAAGTCCTCTGCCAAGCTATCGGACCATGTGTTCCCCCAGCCGTTGTGGAAATTCTTGACGTAATTGATTGCCAGTTTTCTTGAGGCCTCTCGGAGGCTATCTTGAGCCATGCTCGGCTAGAGGCTGTCGGAGGCTATCTTGAACCATGCTCGGCTTTCTTGGGCCATCTTGAGGCTGCCTTGAGGCCTCTTGGAGGGCTGTCGGAGGCTATCTTGAGCCATGCTTGGCTATCTTATGCAATTTTGAAGGCCATCTTGGGCTATCTGGGGCTCTCTTGGAGCCATCTTGGGCAAAAAAGGGCGGGGTGGAGGGTCTTTGGGAGAGGCTGGGAGGCCTCTTGAGGCCATCTTTGGCCCCATGGCTCAAAAAGAGGCGGCGCCTTGACTCGGATCCCCCCCTCGGAGGCTCCCAAACGGCGTCTTGGGGCAGTCTTGGAGCGCTCTTGGGCGCCTCTTGGGCGATCTTGGAGCCGTCTTCGGCCTTATTGGGCCCCTCTTGGGGCCCTTGGAGCCATCATGGTGCCATCTTGAGGCATCCAAAGCGGCAGCCCATCGGAAGCGAAAAGGCGAGAATGCCAAAAACATTGATTTTCCCTAGGCTTTTGAGGGGTTCTGGCATCTTGGAGGGCGCCGTGGAGGGCTCGAAGGGCACTTGTATCCGTCTTGGGGCTGTCGTGGGGCATCTTGGGGGTATGTCGGTCGGAGGCTATCTTGACCCATCTTGAAGTAACATGGGCCATCTTGGAGGCCATCTTGCGACTTTGAATGCCTCTTGGAGCAATCTTGGGCCATCTTGGACGCTCTAGCGCCTCGCGGCGCGCCCCGTCCAGGCCCAGGGGAGGGGGTAGGGGGAGGGGTTTCAGTGGAAGGGAGAAGACACATAACGCGCTACACCACCTAAGCCCAGAGGGCTGGTGGGACTTCTCGGAGAACATTTGGGGGAGGATGGCGGGGAGGAGCAGGAGGAGGTGGAGGAGGAAAAAGGAGGGCACCTGTGGAGCCTTTGGGGGCATTCTTGGGACCTCCTGGGAGCTTCCTGGGAGCCTCCGGGGGCACTCTTGGGACCTCCCGGGAGCTTCCTGGGAACCTCTCGGAATCATCTCGAGGGCCTCCTTGGGCCTTTTGCGGGCCCTTGTCTTAGGGCATCCCTGGCCCGCCTGATGCAGTCGTAAGCCGTCTTGGGGGTCTCCCTGGCATGCTCCACGGTCGTCTTGGAGGCCATCTTGGGCATCTTGGAGGCAGTTGGGCGCGGCAGTGCGGCCACTCCCTTCTGGAACCTTCCTGAGGAAGGTTTTTAGACATTTTTTCTTCAGAGGATTGCCCGAACAATTTTCCAAACATTTTCCTGACCCTGGGGGCCAGGGATTGCTAAACTACGCCGCGGTTGATATTCGATCGCTTGCGTCTTGGAATCGCACTTGACGTGTTATTATAAGATTCGAATCTTATATTACGACTTCCAGTGCTATAGTATTTTCGCAAGTCTTCTGTTAATATTTGAGTTCGTAATATTAGTGTTTGCCTCCATTCTATTGCGTTCGAGGTTGGCGCTAACATGAAAAAAAGAACGCACACGCGTCATGTCTACGGTGCGCCAACGTTGTATCCCCCACCAAGCACTCGGTGCGCATTGACGCGCGAGAGTACCCCTGTGCGCATATCGCACAAACGTATTTTCTCGCATACCCAGTGATCGGCACGGGTACACATTCTCGTGAGCAAGAATGGGCTTCGTCAGCGTTTGAGAGAGAGAGAGAGAGAGAGAGAGAGAGAGAAGGAGAGTCTGTGTGTGCGTGTGTGTGTGTGTGTGAGTGCGCGCGCGAGAGAGAGAGAGTGTGTGTGTGTGTGTGTGTGTGTGCGTGCGTGCGTGCGTGCGTGCGTGCGTGCATTCGCGCGTGCGCGGCGCTAGGGCGAGTGCGGCATTTTGAAAAAGGACTCGCTCTCCGCGTGCGCGACGCGGCGCTAAGGTGAGAGCCAGTGTTTTCATGCCGGTGCGCGCGCGCGCCCGCGCGCGTCTGCGGGCATGTCGGAGCCAGGGCGCATTCTTCATGCTCGCGCCGCGCGCGACGCACGCGCGCGCCGGGTCGAGCGCGGCTGGGCCACCGCGCCCTCGCCCTCGCCGTCCACGGCTACCTCGACCCGCGGCGCCGCGGGCGGCGGCGCTGGCGAGGGCGCGGCAGCGGCGCAGCACTTCCTGCTCGCCCGAGGCGAGCCGCGGGCGGAGGGGGGGGGCGCCATTTAGAACCTTCGTTTTCTTTTCATCAAGTGTTCGGGTTCCGGTGGTTTTGGGTAGAGGCCCTTGGGGCTCCGCGGTCCTAGGTGGCCTCGGGTGTCCGCGGCCCGAGTTCCATCGGCGATCGGCCTCGCCGATCCTCGCCCTCGCCACCCTCGCGCGACGCGGAATGCCTCGCGCGGGATGCTTGGGTCGCGGCGTTGAAGCTTCCGCCGTTATCGCCGCCATCATCATCGCCGTCACCAGCGCCGTTGTCGTCATCATTGCCGCCATCATTCTCGCCGTCGTAATCATGCCCATCCCCGTCCTCAGTTTCATCTTCATCAGCATCTTCCGTCTCGGGTCATCCGCGACCTAGTCCTCATCGTCATCAACTCTTTCCTCGTTCTGATCCTCAACTTAATCCTCGTCGCGTTGCTCGTCCGCGGTCGCCCCCGACGGCTCCGTCGCAGCGCGTCTGGGCCCGCGCGCGTTGAACGCGCTGGGCCGCGCGCGGGGCGGGCGGGGGCGGGGGGGGGCAGGGCGGCGGGGGCGAAGGCGGCAGCGAATGCACGGAGAAGCCCTTGACAGTAACTCAGCAAACTTATGGAGTTCCGCCTGGGACATCCTGCTTGTTTGTCGATGCGTCGCAACGCGCCATCGCTGCGTTATCGACGACGTCGTCGACGACGGCGTTGACGCGTCATCGATGACGTCGTATATCTTCGCGCGCATCATCACATCTATCCTCAGATTCATCCCCGTCGACAACGAGTGGCGACAATGCCGTCGTCGCCGACCTCGTCGCCGCTCGTCGCCAGTCACCCCCGCTTGTCAACGCAGATAGATCCCATTCCCCCCCGCGCCGTGCCCCTCATGATTCGCCGCTGGTTCGGCCGCGCTGGCTCCGCCCATCGGCCCGGCGCGCGCGCGCCGCGCCGGGCGCGGCGATCAAGCCTCCGCTGCTGCTTCAGCGAGCCGGCTTGCGGCGACGGGCCGGCCGCCATGCGGCCGCGGGCCAGGCCGCGACAATTTCGCGGCAGCGCGCGCGGGCGCGACCCGCCCGCGCGCGCAGGCAAGGGATGGAACACATGATGACAAGATCGAGGGGTGAATTTTGCATTGCGCCGCATCGCGTTGCGTTTCGCAGCGCTGCATTGCGCTGCGTTGCAGAGCGTTGCATTGCGCGCTCGTATTTTGCCTGGTTTTCCATTTCGTTGCGTTGCGTTGCGCTGCATGGCGTTGCGTTGCGGTGCGTTGTTTCGCGCGTTGGATCGTTTCTTTGCTCGTGATGCTTTGCGTTGCTTTGAACTGCGTCTGGCTGTTGCATTGCATTGCCGTGAGTTGCCCCGCATCGCGGTGCGTTGC